CCCGCCACAGGCTGGCGTGCGGAGCCCCAGGCCGGCGGCCTTACGTGATTAACGAGTGTTTACAAGACTCTATTAGTAATGACACAGACACCAATGGCTGGAGACGTCGAGGCGCAACGCTCATTCTGCGCACAACCCCCCCAAACCCGATTTGCATTTTAAAAGATAAGGGGCGGGGGAACTCGCGGGAGAGCAGCGACCTGATCACAGCTAAATATTCAAACCTTTATTGTTGAGAGCTTCCTCCTTCCAACCTGGCGCACTTTAACCTCCAATCACAGGTTCAAAGAATGAAATCAAGAGACTTGCCAAAGCCAGGGGGAGAGAAAGAGCTATCTTGTGGGAACCTGGGTTTACAGACAGGAGCAGTCTTGTTTATGCATTCGCCAGGAAGAGGGCGATCAAGAAACTCCTGTCCCAAAAAGAAAAGAAAAAATAAATAAAAAGCCATTGCTTTGATGAGAACATTTCTGACCAACCAATGGGGTGAGGAGCGGAGCCCTAAAAGAAGGGCCCATCCCTTCTCGCCCTGCGCCCCTGGCCAGGATAGCTGCTGCCCCAAGCAACTATTACTGCTAATTATTTATTTTCTTACCCAAAGAAGTTGCTCGCCCTCCACAGAAGATAAATTAGGCTGCGTCTTCGAACTCATCTTACGTTTTGGATTTGAATTGTTAAAGCATTTCATTAAAACAATATTCAAGAATCAAACGTCTTAACTTAAACCAATGAGCCTGTGGTAGAAGTTTGGCTAGTGTTTGCCTTGGAGGGCAGTAATTGGAGGGAAATCTGGAGGGGGAGGCCAGCGTGTTGGTAACTTTCTATTTCTTGAACAAAGTACTGATTTCATGGTGTGTAGGTTTTGTGAAAATTCAGCGACGTACGCTCATTTTATTTTTAAGTAAGTGGCTAAAAATCAAGGAAAAAAGGAGTCCAGAGTTTCTGCTAATACATACCTTTGTATTTGTGTCTTACATCATATCTGTCTTAAAAAACCTTTCCCCTTTACAAAGTAAAACATTCTGTTTCTCATCTCCAGGGAATGGGAAGGCAACGCAGAGCCGTTATTAATTATTGCTAATGAAAAGCTCCGATAGAGCAAAGGATGAGAAGGAATTCCTCTTCAATTAGGGAGCACTGTGGCCAGAGGGCCCAGATCTGGAAATGGCCATTTGGGGACAGAAGTGTTGAGGTCAGGATCAGGAACTAATGAGACAGGAGTACAGAGGTAGCAGGAATAGGCTTCCACCCATTTCCATCTCCATTTTAGCAATAATTTGGAGAGCACCAGTGGTGGTCATTTGCCTCCTTTCTGAGAATTAGCTTTGCTGAAAGGCTTGGGTATAAGGGCAAAGCGAGGCAGCTGACTGCCCAGTGTTGCGTTCCCTGGGAACCCACTTTGGCTGCCCGCTCTTGTTCCTGAACACCTGCATTTGTTGGTTCTCTCAGATATTTGTCACTATTCCCTTCATCTCTAGAGCACTTTCCAGTGTCCTTTATCTTCCTTGATTCTCACATCTCCCGCGATCAGGGACAAAGCTGGTGTCATTACCCTCCTCATTCAGGTGACAATTACCAAGCCATCTAGTTAAGAGACCAAAGCACTATAGAACTAGCCTAGGGGTGCAGGAACCTGTGCTTTCTGGTTCCTTCAGTGTTTTTGAGTTTTGTCAGGAAGAAGGTTAAAAGTGGGGGTGTCAAGGTTATGCAGGAGTCGGGTGCTGTATTTCCAAGAGATAGGAGCTGCCACTTGGTCCTCCTGGAGGACTTCCCAAAAGCCTGACTGGGACAACCAAGTGCCATTTCACTTCACAAGAAATAAAGCCAGAATTAAATTGCAAACCCCATTACAGAAACCTAATCCAGGCAAAGACAGAAAAGGGTGTTTTCGCAGTCCTGATGGGGCAGGAATGTGGGAGGTTAAGCGGTGGGCACTGCAGACTTTTGATCTAGTAAAGATCTTCCTCCTCTTCCTGGGTACAATTCCCCTTTCCGTCCCTCTTGACCCCCTCCCAGGCTTGAGCTCTGGAAGCCCAGGCTGAGGCAAGTCTGTATCTTCGGAATGCTGGCATTCTTTGGAACAATCGCTTTATTAGGGACAGCCATTCCCTGGGCCCTGTGGTGGCCGCTTCCTGAGTTTTTATGACCCCGGCCGCCGGCTGCTGGCTAATTGTCCCCATTTTCCAGCTGTGTCTCTGTGCTCTGCCCCGGAGAAAGGGCTCCAGCCTGTGCACCCAACTGCTTTGGGAGCAGCTAGGGTTGCTCTGGCTCTAGTGGGTCAACTTGGGATCACAAGCTGGAGAAGCCACAGAGAAACCTAAGATTTAGAGTGCTTGAGCCCGAGAAAGGCAACCATGATGAAAACCAATACTTTCATTCATGGCAACAAAAAGGCTTCTCTGGGATTAACATGATCCTGCCTACAGTCCTAAGGTCTGGATTGTTTGGTGAGGGGAAAGGAGATGGTAAATGATGTCTTTGATAATCTCCTCTGAGTGGAAGTGTTCCCCCAATATTCGTGTTCCCCTCTTTGCCAAGAGGGCCCAGCTGGGTCCCCTGAAGAAACAGGGTTGTAGAATCGGTTCTGCATCTATAGAAGTTGGCAGATGATAAAGAAGCCTGGGTGTCTTTTATATACACCACCCCAGCAGGCTGGCAAGTTAGGGGTTCTTGCCTGTCCTCTAGAGGCCCACTCGAGACTGGGGCAGTTCTCCAGCCTCAGAGTGCAGGCCTATGGCCCTGGAGAATACAGGGCCACC